ATAATTACTGTACCGACATGTTAGCCAACCATTGTAGGTTGCAACTTGGAAATGGATGCTAAAAAACTCCAGTAAAAATAAGCTACAGTGCTTGAATTTCTGGGATTATCCTAGGCTAATAGGCCTCTGAGGTTAATCCAGAATAATTTTTTTTAATTTTTGACATTAATAAAAAAATTAAAATTTGTTAATTAAATACCAAACATTTGCCTTAAGCTAACATTATTGCCCAGATTCTAGAATGCTTTCCTTTTGTATTTCAGGACTGTAGGTGTTGAAAAAGGATATCTTTGAGAGGATGGAAAGGTGAACAGTATTGAATTAACTCCTTTTTAATTGTCGACCAAACAGTGAAAGGTTTATACTGTACTGTATCACAGTTCAACAGTGGTATGTTCAGCAGCAGGTTTACATCTAGTCATAGCTAGAGCTAGGTTCATATCTTTGGTTAAAAACAATTAGTATTAAATATTATGTACTGTGTGGCACACAGTACATAATTTTTAAAAAAAACTTCTCATGGTTTTTTATCACCTGAACATGATTCTCAGATAAAAATTTTCACTCATTCCTGTGTAGGGTCCCCCTCTCCAAAAAACACAGACATCACTGAAAGACATTTCCCATTAATTTTAAAAAACTCATCTACTGGCTAATTCCTAAGCCCTTTTCAAGATCAGTACGATTGATGGCTCTCATTTCCCAAACATATTTTCTGTCTCATAGCTTGTCACGATAAGCTCTCTCGCATCTCTTGAATGTCTAGCCTTTACCTATCAATGCCTTGTTCACGCTCCTTTTCTTCTTAAATTTCCCTTTTTATAAAGGAAGCCACATCTGACTTTAAAAACATTTAAAAACTGTGAAACATTCTTCTGACCCCCGAACTGTAATACAAAACAGGTGTCCCTTTTTTTACATTGTGATGCATCCGGCCCATACAAGTTTACTCTCATTTGTCTGTAAAAAAACTTTTTTTCCATAATGGAAAATTCCCGTATCTTTTCCCAAAACCCTACAGATGAAATACAACAAATACAGTGCATCACATACTGCAAATTTCTGATGAAAGTGAAGGCTCCTATTTTAATTTTTCTCTTTCAAATTAATATCCTCCATTTCATTGACACCATAAATAGCCTCCCTACAGATTTTTTTAAAAACAAAACTTTCACTTTTTTTTTCAAAGATTCAAAAAATATGTTTTTTTTTTTTTTTTTTTTTTATCAACGGCCCATTCCCACCAAGGGAGGGTGGCCCGAAAAAGAAAACTTTCACCACATTCACTCCATCACTGTCTTGCCAGAAGGGTGCTTTACACTACAGTTTTTAAACTGCAACATTAACACCCTCCTTCAGAGTGCAGGCACTGTACTCCCATCTCCAGGACTCAAGTCCGGCCGTGCCGGTTTCCCTGAATCCCTTCATAAATGTTACTTTGCTCACACTCCAACAGCACGTCAAGTATTAAAAACCATTTGTCTCCATTCACTCCTATCAAACACGCTCACGCATGCCTGCTGGAAGTCCAAGCCCCTCGCACACACAAAACCTCCTTACCCCCCTCCCTCCAACCCTTCCTAGGCCGACCCCTACCCCGCCTTCCTTCCACTACAGACTGATACACTCTTGAAGTCATTCTGTTTCGCTCCATTCTCTCTTACATGTCCGAAACCACCTCAACAACCCTTCTCAGCCCTCTGGACAACAGTTTTGGTAATCCCGCACCTCCTCCTAACTTCCAAACTACGAATTCTTCTGCATTATATTCACACCACACAATTGCCCTCAGACATGACAATCTCCACTGCCTCCAGCCTTCTCCTCGCTGCAACATTCATCACCCACGCTTCAACACCCATATAAGAGCGTTGGTAAAACTATACTCTCATACATTCCCCTCTTTGCCTCCAAGGACAAAGTTCTTTGTCTCCACAGACTCCTAAGTGCACCACTCACTCTTTTTCCCTCATCAATTCTATGATTCACCTCATCTTTCATAGACCCATCCGCTGACACGTCCACTCCCAAATATCTGAATACGTTCACCTCCTCCATACTCTCTCCCTCCAATCTGATATTCAATCTTTCATCACCTAATCTTTTTGTTATCCTCATAACCTTACTCTTTCCTGTATTCACCTTTAATTTTCTTCTTTTGCACACCCTACCAAATTCATCCACCAATCTCTGCACTTCTCTTCAGAATCTCCCAAGAGCACAGTGTCATCAGCAAAGACAGCTGTGACAACTCCCACTTTGTTGTGATTCTTTATCTTTTAACTCTACGCCTCTTGCCAAGACCCTCGCATTTACTTCTCTTACAAACCCATCTATAAATATATTAAACAACCACGTGACATCACACATCCTTGTCAAAGGGCCTATTTTTTACTGGGAAAAAATTTCCCTCTTTCCTACATACTCTAACTTGAGCCTCACTATCCTCGTAAAAAAATCTTTCACTGCTTTCAGTAACCTACCTCCTACACCATACACTTGCAACATCTGCCACATTGCCCCCTATCCACCCTGTCATACGCCTTTTTCCAAATCCATAAATGCCACAAAGACCTCTTTAGCCTTATCTAAATACTGTTCACTTATATGTTTCACTGTAAACACCTGGTCCCACACACCCCCTACCTTTCCTAAAGCCTCCTTGTTCATCTGCTATCCTATTCTCCGTCTTACTCTTAATTCTTTCAATTATAACTCTACCATACACTTTACCAGGTACACTCAACAGACTTATCCCCCTATAATTTTTGCACTCTCTTTATCCCCTTTGCCTTATACAAAGGAACTATGCATGCTCTCTGCCAATCCCTAGGTACCTTACCCTCTTCCATACATTTATTAAATAATTGCACCAACACACTCCAAAACTATATCCCCACCTGCTTTTAAACATTTCTATCTTTATCCCATCAATCCCCGGCTGCCTTACCCCCTTTCATTTTACCTACTGCCTCACGAACTTCCCCCCACACTCACAACTGGCTCTTCCTCACTCCTACAAGATGTTATTCCTCCTTGCCCTATACACGAAATCACAGCTTCCCTATCTTCATCAACATTTAACAATTCCTCAAAATATTCCTTCCATCTTCCCAATACCTCTAACTCTCCATTTAATAACTCTCCTCTTCCTATTTTTAACTGACAAATCCATTTGTTCTCTAGGCTTTCTTAACTTGTTAATCTCACTCCAAAACTTTTTCTTATTTTCAACAAAATTTGTTGATAACATCTCACCCATCTCCCCATTTGCTCTCTTTTTACACTGCTTCACCACTCTCTTAACTTCTCTCTTTTTTTCCATATACTCTTCCTCCTTGCATCACTTCTACTTTGTAAAAACTTCTCATATGCTAACTTTTTCTCCCTACTACTCTCTTTACATCATCATTCCACCAATCGCTCCTCTTCCCTCCTGCACCCACTTTCCTGTAACCACAAACTTCTGCTGAAACACTCTAACACTACATTTTTAAACCTACCCCATACCTCTTCGACCCCATTGCCTTTGCTCTCATTAGCCCATCTATCCTCCAATAGCTGTTTATATCTTACCCTAACTGCCTCCTCTTTTAGTTTATAAAACCATCACCTCTCTCTTCCCTGATGCTTCTATGTCTCCTTTATCTCCATCTACCTTTACTCTCAGTGTAGCTACAACTAGAAAGTGATCTGATATATCTGTGGCCCCTCTAAAACATGTACATCCTGAAGTCTACTCAACAGTCTTTATCTACCAATACATAATCCAACAAACTACTGTCATTTCGCCCTACATCATATCGTGTATACTTATTTATCCTCATTTTCTTAAAATATGTATTACCTATAACTAAACCCCTTTCTATACAAGTTCAATCAAAGGGGCTCCCATTATATTTACACCTGGCACCCCAAAAACTTACCTACCACACCCTCTCTAAAATTTTTCTCCTACTTTAGCATTCAAGTCCCCTACCACAATTACCTCTCATTTGGGTTTTCAAAGGCTCCTATACATTCACTTAACATCTCCCAAAATCTCTCTCTCTCCTCTGCATTCCTCTCTTCTCCAGGTGCATACACGCTTATTATGACCCACTTCTCGCATCCAACCTTTACTTTAATCCACATAATTCTTGAATTTACACATTCATATTCTCTTTTCTCCTTCCATAACTGATCATTTAACATTACTGCTACCCCTTCCTTTGCTCTAACTCTCTCAGATACTCCAGATTTAATCCCATTTATTTCCCCCCACTGAAACTCTCCTACCCCCTTCAGCTTTGTTTCGCTTAGGGCCAGGACATCCAACTTCTTTTCATTCATAACATCAACAATCATCTGTTTCTTGTCATCCGCACTACATCCACGCACATTTAAGCAACCCAGTTTTATAAAGTTTTTCTTCTTCTCTTTTTTAGTAATTCTATACAGGAGAAGGGTTACTAGCCCATTGGCTCCCGGCATTTTAGTCGCCTCATACGACACGCATGGCTTACGGAGGAAAGATTCTTTTCCACTTCCCCATGGACAATAGAAGAAATAAAAAAGAACAAGAGCTATTTAGAAAAAGGAGAAAAACCTAGATGTATGTATATATATATATGCATGTGCGTGTCTGTGAAGTGTGACCAAAGTGTAAGTAGGAGTAGCAAGATATCCCTGTTATCTTAGCGTGTTTATGAGACAGAAAAAGAAACCATATGATTCTCATGGCTTAAACAATTCCTAAATAGTGTATTAACTTCTTAGAATATATCTCCATCACTCTCACATGTACAGTACATAGATGCAGTACATAACAGCACAGTAATAACAATAACTCACATTGTGCATCATTGCCTTTTTTACGTACACAGTTCTCTTAATATCAGAACCTCTCTGCCTCCCATCTGAAAATAGTATGCCATGTCTTGGATGTTCATAAATACATACCATAAAATTAATGTGAATTACTCTACATTTTATGTAGACATTATACATCTACAGACTAACAGTTTACTAAACATGTATATGCATTTAATCATTTTTGATGTCTTGAGAGTTTAAATATACAGTATGATGGTTTTGATCATCCAGATGTCTCTTTTCAGGGACCTTCTCTTTCAGGGTTATGAAGAAACTGTGCAGAGGCAAGCATCTCTCTTACAGAAACAGCAGGTGATTATTTTAAAATTTCTTTGAGAAAATGCATAGTATTCTCGGTTACTATATAAACCTTTTAGGTTCATATTTAATGCCAGTTAGAATCTTTAGCCTTTAACCTTACAGTAAGTAAATTTTATTATGAAGTTATTGTGAAAATGAGACCTCAGATCATACGCATTCTTTCAAAAATATGCTGCTATCTACCAAGCATCATCACTCGCTCTGTACCACTACCTGTATTATAATATATCCTTACTTATTATTGTTCCCACGAAACAAGTGGTATTGATCAATAACAGCACTGCACTAGCCAAGGAGTCGAACCCATGCTGCTTTGGCCCGCCTCATGGTGAGCGAAAACTCATGACTCCTGTTGTATGTTGCATGGGGCCTACAACAGCAAATCACCTAAAACACATCATAACTTAACAAACAAAGCTCTGCTGTTAAAAGGATCACTTGGTCAGGTTCCAAACAATATATGCTCCCACTATTCAAAAGTTTAAATTTACTTAGCATTCAAAACATCAAAACCTTACCACTGTGTATACTATGTATACAGGACGCTTAACACAAATACAAAACCTGACTTGCAGCTCTTCTAATAGTAAGCTGCAACAGAATACATAGACACTGTTTGATATCCCTTGTGTTCAGCCTGAGTATAAACTCCATGCACATTACAAGCCCAAAAGTATGTAACAACTGCTTTAAAAATATTGTCAATAAAAACCTTCTGATCTTGATATAATTTATGAGGAATAAATATATACAGTGGTACCTCGGGATACAAACTTAATTCATTCCAGAAGGCTGTTTGAGTGCCGATACCGAACAAATTTGTTCCCATAAGGAATAATGTAAATTAGATTAATCCATTTCAGACCCCCAAAAATACACTTACATAATTGTTCGAATTTTGAGCTGTTCGTATCCTGAGGTACCACTGTACATGTATATGTATATATATGTAGAATGACTTGGAGAGCATATAATTCTATTGCGGAAGGAAGATGGGGTAGGGGTAGTTCCCGAAAAGGGTGGAGGGAGGGGATAAAGGAAGTTTTGTGGGCAAGGGGCTTAGACTTTCAGCAAGTGTGCGTGAGCATGTTAGATAGGAGTGAATGGACATGAATGGTTTCTGGGACCTGACGAGCTGTTGGAGTGTGAGCAGGGTAATATTTTGTGAAGGGATTCAGGGAAACTGGTTAGCCAGACTTGAGTCCTGGAAATGGGAAGTACAATGCCTGCACTTTAAAGGAGGAGTTTAGAATATTGGCAGTTTGGAGGGACGTCTAAACTGTTGTATCTGAGCGCTAATGCAAAGACAGTGATTACGTATGTATAAGTGCTGGTGAAAGCGTTGAATGATTATGAAAATTTTTTCTTTCTTTTTGGGTCACCCTGCCTTGGTGGGAAATTGCCAACATGTTAAAAAAAAAATAGATGCAGAGGTTGGTTGATGAGTTTGGTAGGGTATGTAAAAGAAAGAAATTAAAAGTTAATATGGGAAAGAGTAAGGTGATGAGAATAACAAAAAAATGAGGTAATGGAAGATTGGATATCAGATTGTAGGGAGAGAGTATAGAGGAGGTGAATGTGTTCAGATATTTGAGAGTGGACGTGTCAGCAGATGGGTCTATGAAGGAAGAGGTGAATCATAGAATTGACGAGGGGAAAAAGGTGAGTGGTGCACTGAGGATTCTACCTCAGAGAAAGAACTTTATCCATGAAAGCACAAAGGGGAATGTATGAGAGTATGTATCAATGCTCTTGTATGGGTGTGGGGCATGGGTTGTGAATGTTGCAACAAGGAGAAGGCTGGAGGCAGTGGAGATGTCATATCTGAGGGCAATGTGTGGTGTGAATATTATGCTGAGAATTCATAGTTTGGAGATTAGGAGGAGGTGTGGGATTACCAAAACTATTATCCAGAGGGCTGAGGAGGGGTTATTGAGATGGTTTGGACATGTAGAGAGGATGGAACAAAATAGAATGACTTCGAGAGTGTATAAATCTGTAGTGGAAGGATGGCAGGGCAGGGGTCAGCCTAGGAAAGGTTGGAGGGAGGGGGTAAAGGAGGTTTTGTGTGAGAGGGGCTTGGACTTTCAGCAAGTGTGCGTGAGAGTGTTAGATAGGAGTGAATGGAGACAAATGGCTTTTAGGACTTGACATGCTGTTGGAGTGTAAGCAAGGTAACATTTATAGAGGGATTCAGCGATGATTCCTGGAGATGGGAAGTACAGTGCCGGCACTCTGAAGGAGGGGTGTTAATGTTGCATTTTTATAGCTGTAGTGTAAGCATGCCTCTGGCAAAACAGTGATAGAGTGAATGATGATGAAAGTTTTTCTTTTTTGGGCCACCCTGCCTTGGTGGGAAACAACCGATGTGTTAATAAAAAAAATATATATAAGCCAAATGTACCTAATGCAACATGCCTCTCCAGAATCCAATCAGCAGTCATATTCATGCACTTCTTGTTCCAAATGTGTCCTACCCACTGAAATGCTTAAAAAAAATATTAATTTAATTTTTAAAGAGGTGAACTGGTAAGCCGGCAGTGAGACATCATGTGACTAACACCTGCATCAGGACACAATTTTCCTGCTCCCTGATGAATCTAACCTAACCTAACCTAATCCTCCCCTCCTAAATATTTTATTTCTAAAAATTTTTATTGCTCAGGTTGTTAATATTGTTTTGTATTTATCTCCCTTCATGTTAAAATTTTTATTCTAAATAAACAAAATTTTCTTACTGAGATTGGTATGCAGTTGTATTGATATAATCTTATCCACAAACAAATTAATTAAGCTAATATTAGCATTCACACGATGTACCTTGAGGTAATCATTGTCAAGCAGTACTGTAATTTTTATTGTTCAGTTTTAATCTGCCAGAAATGTATTTGATTACTAGGGGTTTTCCACGTAAGTAATTACCTGTTTAAAACAATATCTATAAAACTGAGTATCTTCTTTGGAAAATAATGATATAATTTTATTTATTTTTTACTTCAGAAAATAATAGAAAATCTTAAGGAGGAGCTGTCATCTCAGCAGCAGACACTAGTCTCAGCTAGTAAACGTCATCAAGGCAAGATTGAGTCATTGCTTCAGCAGAGTCAGTCTGTAACCTTGCAGGAATTTTCTGAAGAAATTCAGTTACTGAAACAAGAGCTAGAAACTGCACTGAAGGTCTGACTCATGCCATCATTTATTTGAAATTTAAATGCAGTTTTTATTCTTAAAGTATTAAATACAGTACATACATACTATATTTCTGTCTTTTTTCATGTTTTTTCTTCTTGATATTTTTCTTCACAGATTTTTTTGCATCCTGAGGCTCGAAGAGGATATTTAGGAATAGTTTTTTAAATGCGTAAAACTTGTCTATAACCTAAAGTTTTTTTTTTTCACACAGATTAAATCAAACCAGAATCAAAATAAATGTTTTCAAACATGATGCACAAATATGTATAGCAGTCTGAAAATCATATACTATACACAGAATTTCTGCAACAGGAAAATTGGTTACACCCAGCTTTGGTAAAAAAAAAAAAAAATTTTTTTGACAGTTGAGAAATGCATTCTATTAGAAAATGCTCTAGTTTGTTGTATGTTTCATATTTATTTGCTACTGTCTCTCAGGAGAAGGAGTTGAGTCAAGCGGAAAGTAGAAGGCAGGCAGTAGAAGTTCAACGTCTGCGTCAAGAAGTGGTGATTTTACAGGCTGGTGCCAACACTGTTGATGGTTCACCGCTTGGGCAGGTTAATCTGGGGCAGTTTTTATTCCTTTATATTAGTTTTTGTATTTCTACACAATATAAGCTTCTATATTTCTGTTTATAGTACTGATCAGGTCTTGTACTGTACATCTGTATGCACATTTTATATTTCTGTATAAAAGTTCTCTTATTGTATTTTTATATGGTGTATAAGTTTTCATAAAATGTAAGTTTTTCATGGTTTCATAACAATTAATGTTTGTTGTCACCACTTGCTCGATATTGTCAAGTAGAATGTGTTGCAATAGTGACAGTTACCTCTGCAATGCTTTGCAAACTATAAAGTAGATTAATGCCACAAAAACCTCTTTACCCTTATCTAAATACTGTTCACCTATGAGTTTCACTGCAAACGCTTGGTCCACACACCCCCTACCTTTCCTAAAGCCTCCTTGTTCATCTGCTATCCTGCTCTCTGTCTTACTCATAATTCTATCAATGATAACTCTAACATACACTTTACCAGGTATACTCAACAGATTTATTCCCCTATAATTTTTACTCTCTCTTTTATCTCCTTTGCTTTCATGCAAAGGAACTATGCATGCTCTCTGCCAGTCCCTAGGTACCTTACCCTCTGCTATACATTTATTAAATAAAAAACACTAACCACTCCAAAACTATATCCCCACCGGCTTTTAACATTTCTAATTTAATCCCATCAATCCCAGCTGCTTTACCCCCTTTCATTCTACTCACTGCCCCACGCACTTCTGCCACACTCACAACTTGTTCTTCCTCACTCCTACAAGATGTTATTCCTCCTTGCCCTATACATGAAATCACAGCTTCCCTATCTTCTTCAACATTTAACAGTTCCTCAAAATATTCCCTCCATCTTCCATGGATCGAAGTAGAATGACATGGAGAATGTATAAATCTGTAGGGGAAGGAAGGTGGGGTAGGGGTCGTCCTCAAAAAGGTTGGAGGGAGGGGGTAAAGGAGGTGTTGTGGGCTAGGGGCTTGGACTTCCAGCAAGCGTGCGTGAGTGTGTTAGATAGGAGTGAATGGAGACAAATGGTATTTGGGACCTGACGAGCTGTTGAAGTGTGAGCAGGGTAATATTTAGTGAAGGGATTCAGGGAAACCGGTTATTTATATAACCGGACTTGAGTCCTGGAAATGAGAAGTACAATGCCTGCACTTTAAAGGAGGGGTTCGGGATATTGGCAGTTTGGAGGGATATATTGTGCATTTTTATACGTATATACTTCTAAACTGTTGTATTCTGGGCACCTCTGCAAAAACAGAGATTATGTGTGAGTGAGGTGAAAGTGTTGGATGATGATGAAAGTATTTTCTTTTTGGGGATTTTCTTTCTTTTTGGGTCACCCTGCCTCGGTGGGAGACGGCCGACTTGTTGAAAAAAAACAAAATCAATTTGTTCCCTAGGCTTTCTCAGCTTATTAATCTCACTTCAGAACTTTTTCTTATTTTCAACAAAATTTGTTGATATCTTTTTATTCACATGAAACGCTAAACTTGTCGAGTCACAGCCAGGAGCTGTGACCTGACCCCTACAACCACAAATAGGTAAGTGCAAGGAATGTTTGAAGCTCAGTTCTCCATCTGCTAATTGAGAGACAGAAACTACTCTTGAAGCCAGGTAGACTAAAAGGAACATAATGAAAGATTTAACAGAAATAAACCTAAGGCTAAAGATTTATACTTGATGCTAACTGAAGCTTCTTGATCCAAGGAATCAGAACTCCCCTTCCCTTCCTCAGATCAAGCCTTTTTAAGTTCCATCCCAGGCACTATAGTGCTATCTGATTATGCAAATTATATTGGAATATATAATCTGTGGCTTACCCGATGAAGTATACTTGGAGGGTGTTCCAGGGGTCAATGCCCCCGTGGCCTGGTCCATGACTAGACCTTGCATGCTTCCACAGTTTGCTCACATATTAACCCTTTCAGGGTCCCCAGGCCCTCTCCCAGACTTGTTCTCAGGGTCAACCAAATTTAAAAAAAAAAATTATTTTTTTCTTATGAAAAGATAAAGAATCTTTTCCAGATCATAATGACACCAAAAGTATAAAATTTGATGGAAAACTTACGGAATTATGCTCTCACGAAGTTAGCGGTCTCGACGATGTTTACACATTGGCGATTTTGCCTAATTTGAGCCCCATTTTCAGCCACTTCCAGTGTACTAGGTGACAAAAATCATAACTATTTCGCTACAACTCCATTTTTTCTATCGAATGAGTACAAGAAACCACCCATTTATCAATTTCAACTATTCAATACAATGGTCAGAATTTAGCAATTTTGCCAATTTCACACAAATTTCAAAAGATGCCAATTTCTAAATAGGGTCCAGAATAAACAAGAAAGACATTCCTGGCACTAAAATAACATTTTTCCCTGTTCATTAGTCATGTCCCCACGCCCCTCTTACATTCTTTTGCTTTCCACTTTGAATTTTTATTCTCACAAAAAATAGAAGATTTACTGTTATGCAGACTACTACATTAGTGTAGAAATGGTATAAATAATATCAGCGCACTTGTGAAAGAATATTAGACTCGCCAGTTGATGTGTATTGGACGCTTAGCATGATTTGTTTACTTTTGAACTTTGGTGAAAATCGAACATTTCTGCTACTTTGAGCTCAATTTCAAGGTACTTTTCATTGTAAAACCAGTCAAAATCATCTCAATTTCTGTAATATGTCTTCCATTCTATAAAATGAGACCAGGAAAACTAGAATACAACAATAAATACAATACGAAAATACAGTGCAAAGTCGCTGTTTTAATCCAAAAACACCATCAAAGTTTTTTTTTTCTCATTACGCACTGTGTGCTACAGGATTTTTTTCATACTGCACACACTGACCACATAGACCCATTCTTTCATATGTAGGCCTACCAGCTTTTTCTCACTAGATTTGAGGGCGCTAGAATTTAGACGTACTAGTACGTCAAAAACCCTGGTGCGTAAGCCGTACTAGTATGTCCAAAACCCTGAAAGGGTTAAGATAAAATATTGTATTTGTATACAGTGTTTTTCTTTACCCAAGTACATGTAGTTGATTTGTAAATGTAGTTGTTATAAAATAAATTGTACTTGTTTAGAAAGTAGTATTGGTAAGTGTAACAAACACTTTGCTGTGGAATGGGGAAATCCTTACTTAGGTATGTAAATGAAACATAGGGGACTGTATATTTCAGCTTCTGCTGAGGACCTCAATTAGAGATCAGAATATGCAGCATCCCTTTTATTTCCTGTTTTTTTTATGTCTCCAAGTATGTTTCTTAATTTTATTTAGAATGATTCTGTTGTGTTATTAAAAACTATTAAATGAGTGTATGAAGTAACTTACACAAAAACACTTCTCATATGGGTATCTGTATATTCATTTTCTGTTCCCCACTATTTGCAGTCACAGGAGGAGTACTTAAGAGTTGTAAAAATATTAGAAGAGGAAACAGAGAGACTAAGAACTGATGTGGGAAGATTAGAGGATGAGAAGCTGCAGATACTGAAATCTAATATTGATTTAAAGAAAAAAGTAAGTCATATAAATTTTCTTAATTAAAATTATGATTGTTTTCTCTTATTCAGAAAATATGGAATTTTTGAGATCATTCTAAAATTAAAAAAAAAAATACTTTCAAAATTGAGAATTCTGAAAAAGGGAGGGAATGTGTCAGAATATATTGGTACCAACACTCTTGAGTGTAAGGCATAGACTAAGGTTTGATCCAAAGAAGAAACTGGAAGCAGTGGAGATATCATGTTTGAGAGCAATGTGTTTTTTTAATATTATGCAGGGAATTTAAAGCATAGAAATTAGAAAACAGTTTGAGGTCAGCAAACATATAATTGAAAGGGCTGAGCAGGAATGTACATCCTTATTTCAGGTATCTTCTCTTGATATTTTCCTTGACCAAGAAAAGCAGAGGAATATTGCTTATAGATCAGCAGTGGATGATAAGGAGGAAGCTTTACAGGAGATGAAGGAGTCTTTGACAGCGCTCAACTTAAGATTCACGGAGCAGAGTGAAGACCTCCAGACTATCCTGGCTCAAACTGAAGCTCTTCAGAAAAGCAAAGTAATATATTAAAAGTTTTTAATTGTTGAAGTAAAGAAGTGGTTTAAGTAAGTATCTAATAAAGAATAACAAGGCACAATATCATGACTGAAACAATACACTAATAACCCACATGTAAGAGAAAGAAACTTATGGTGTTTCTGTCTGACTTGGATCATTAATTAGTTAATGACTTCAGTCAGACTGAAACATCATAAGTTTCTTTCTCCTATATGTGGGTTATTTGTGTAAGTGTCTAACTTAGATAATGTGTCTTGTTGGATCAGAAATTCAGTGCATTTTTCACATAACTGGCAGGTATGGCTTATTTTTTTGTTTGCTTGGTAACATCTGTGACCAAACTTGTAAATATATGTCTTATTATATGTACTTCATTATGGTGAGACTTCTCTTTATGCTCATAGTATTAAAAAGTTCATAAATAATTTAAAGCTGTGAAGCTCAGCCTGGCAAAACAATCATTTCAGGATAATTTGGCAAAAATTCTTATAAATGTCAAGGACAAGCTAAAAGAAGCCCAGAAGCGAGTGGCTGAGAGTGTACGTATTGCCGAAGATGCTCTTGTGGAAAAAGATGCTGCTCTTCTACGAGAGAAGCACGTGATGAGTAAGTTAACAGTGACTGAGTGACATTGTTCCATGATGAAAAAAAAATAAGATTTTAGACTCAAACACTATCATATCTATTCTCTACAAACTTTCTTCTTTCAACGTACCAGCCATATCCCATTGAGGTGGGGTGGCCCAAAAGGAAAAACGAAAGTTTCGCCTTTTAAATTTAGTAATATATACAGGAGAAGGGGTTACTAGCCCCTTGCTTTCTCTACAAACATCGATTTTTTTTTTTTTTTTTTTTTTTTTTTTTTTTTTTGTACAGTGCCTATTTTCCACCATGGCTGAATGACCCAAAGTAGAAAGGACATTCACCATTACAAATTCACAAGCTGTCTTTCCAAAAGTGCATGACATAAGCCAGTGACCCACAGTACTACATTTTTTCCTAACTTTCAAAGTGCTGGCACCATTCTTCTCAGCTGTGAATCTTAGGTCTGGCAAACTGGTTTCCCTCAATCCCTTTGTAGAGCTTAATAATAATGATAATAATAATAATATCTTTATTTACTACGAGTACATGTACATGGTATACAGGCCTAGCTGACATCAGTGACATATTACCATATAGAAAGCCCCTTGTTATGCAGAGCATTTTGGGCAAATTAGGTCAGTTTTATCCCAAGATGCGACCCACACCAATTGACTAACACCCAAGTACCCATTTTACTGATGGGTGAACATAGACAACTGGTGTAAGGAAACATGTCTAATGTTTCCACCCCTTCGCTGGGAATCGAACCCAGACACTCACTGTGTGAAGCGAGAGCTTTTGCCGTGTTTATACTCCATTGCATGTTAAATCACAAAAAAATTACTGCTACTCACTGATTTAACACATGTGCTTGCTATATATATAGCAAGCACATGTGTTAAATGCTATAGCTATATATATATATATTTTTTTTTTCAACAAGTCGGCCGTCTCCCACCGAGGCAGGGTGACCCAAAAAAAGAAAGAAAATCCCCAAAAAGAAAATACTTTCATCATCATTCAACACTTTCACCCACACACACACACACACACACACACACACACACACACACCACACACACACACACACACACACACACACACACACACACACACACACACACACACAACCACACACACACACACACACACACACACACACACACACACACACACACACACACACACACACACACACACACACACACACACACACACACACACACACACACACACACACACACACACACACACACCACACACACACACACACACACACACACACACACACACACATTATTTATTTATTTATTTATTATTTATTTTTTTTTTTTTTTTTTTTTTCCAACAAGTCGGCCGTCTCCCACCGAGGTAGGGTGACCCAAAAAAGAAAGAAAATCCCCAAAAAGAAAATACTTTCATCATCATTCAACACTTTCACCACACTCACACATTATCACTGCTTTTGCAGAGGTGCTCAGAATACAACAGCTTAGAAGCATATACGTATAAAGATACACAACATATCCCTCCAAACTGCCAGTATCCCAAACCCCTCCTTTAAAGTGCAGGCATTGTACTTCCCATTTCCAGGACTCAAGTCCGACTATATGAAAATAACCGGTTTCCCTGAATCCCTTCACTAAATATTACCCTGCTCACACTCCAACAGATCGTCAGGTCCCAAGTATCATTCACCTCCATTCACTCCTATCTAACACGCTCATGCATGCTTGCTGGAAGTCCAAGCCCCTTGCCCACAAAACCTCCTTTACCCCCTCTTTCCAACCCTTTCGAGGACGACCCCTACCCCTCCTTCCTTCCCCTATAGATTTATATGCTTTCCATGTCATTCTACTGTGATCCATTCTCTCTAAATGACCAAACCACCTCAACAACCCCTCTTCTGCCCTCTGACTAATGCTTTTATTAACTCCACACCTTCTCCTAATTTCCACACTCCGAATTTTCTGCATAATATTTACACCACACATTGCCCTTAGACAGGACATCTCCACTGCCTCCAACCATCTCCTCGCTGCTGCATTTACCACCCAAGCTTCACATCCATATAAGAGTGTTGGTACTACTATACTTTCATACATTCCCTTCTTTGCCTCCATAGATAACGTTTTTTGACTCCACATATACCTCAACGCACCACTCACCTTTTTTCCCTCATCTATTCTATGATTAACCTCATCCTTCATAAATCCATCCGCCGACACGTCAACTCCCAAGTATCTGAAAACATTCACTTCTTCCATACTCCTCCTCCCCAATTTGATATCCAATTTTTCTTTATCTAAATCATTTGATACCCTCATCACCTTACTCTTTTCTATGTTCACTTTCAACTTTCTACCTTTACACACATTCTCAAACTCATCCACTAACCTTTGCAATTTTTTCTTAGACTCTCCCATAAGCACAGTATCATCAGCAAAAGTAACTGTGTCAGTTCCCATTTTGAATTTGATTCCCCATAATTTAATCCCACCCCTCTCCCGAACACCCTAGCAGTTACTTCTTTTACAACCCCATCTATAAATATATTAAACAACCATGGTGACATTACACATCCCTGTCTAAGACCTACTTTTACCGGGAAGTATTCTCCCTCTCTTCTACACACCCTAACCTGAGCCTCACTATCCTCATAAAAGCTCTTTACAGCATTTAGTAACTTACCACCTATTCCATATACTTGCAACATCTGCCACATTGCTCCTCTATCCACTCTATCATATGCCTTTTCTAAATCTATAAATGCAATAAAAACTTCCCTACCTTTATCTAAATACTGTTCACATATATGCTTCGATGTAAACACTTGATCTACACATCCCCTACCCACTCTGAAGCCTCCCTGCTCATCTGCAATCCTACATTCTGTCTTACCTCTAATTCTTTCAATTATAACCCTACCGTATACTTTTCCTGGTATACTCAGTAAACTTATTCCTCTATAATTTTTACAATCTCTTTTGTCCCCTTTCCCGTTATATAAAGGGACTATACATGCTCTTCGCCAATCCCTAGGTACCTTCCCCTCTTTCATACATTTATTAAACAAAAGTACCAACCACTCCAACACTATATCCCCCCCCCTGCTTTTAACATTTCTGTCATGATCGCATCAGTTCCTGCTGCTTTACCCCCTTTCATTCTACGTAATGCCTCACGTACCTCCACCACACTTACAGTCTGCTCTTCTTCACTCCTAAAAGATGGTATACCTCCCTGGCCAGTGCATGAAATTACCGCCTCCCTTTCTTCCTCAACATTTAAAAGTTCCTCAAAATATTCTCGCCATCTACCTAATACCTCCCTCTCCCCATCTACTAACTCCCCTACTCTGTTTTTAACTGACAAATCCATACTTTCCCTAGGTTTTCTTAACTAGTTTAACTCACTCCAAAATTTTTTCTTATTTTCATTAAAATTTCTTGACAGTGCCTCTCCCACTCTTTCATCTGCTCTCCTTTTGCACTCTCTCACCACTCTCTTCACCTTTCTTTTACTCTCCATATACTCTGCTCTTCTTATAACACTTCTGCTATATATATATATATATTTTTTTTTTTTTTTTTTCCAACAAGTCGGCCGTCTCCCACCAAGGCAGGGTGACCCAAAAAAGAAAGAAAATCCCCAAAAAGAAAATACTTTCATCATCATTCAACACTTTCACCTCACTGACATATAATCACTGTTTTTGCAGAGGTGCTCAGAACACAACAGCTTAGAAGCATATACGTATAAAGATACACAACATATCCCTCCAAACTGCTAATATCCCAAACCCCTCCTTTAGAGTGCAGGCATTGTACTTCCCATTTCCAGGACTCAAGTCCGGCTATATAAAAATAACCGGTTTCCCTGAATCCCTTCACTAAATATTACCCTGCTCACACTCCAACAGATCGTCAAGCCCCAGATACCATTCGTCTCCATTCACTCCTATCGAACACGCTCATGCACGCCTGCTGGAAGTCCAAGCCCCTCACCCACAAAACCTCCCTTACCCCTTCCAACCTTTTCGAGGACGACCCCTACCCCGCCTTCCTTCTCCTACAGATTTAAATGCTCTCCATGTCATTCTACTTTGATCCATTCTCTCTAAATGACCAAACCACCTCAACAACCCCTCTTCAGCCCTCTGACTAGTACTTTTATTAACTCCACACCTCCTAATTTCCACACTCCGAATTTTCTGCATAATATTTGCACCACACATTGCCCTTAGACATGACATCTCCACTGCCTCCAACCGCCTCCTCGCTGCTGCATTCACAACCCAAGCTTCACACCCATATAAGAGTGTTGGTACTACTATACTTTCATACATTCCCTTCTTTGCCTCCATAGATAACGTTTTTTGACTCCACATATACCTCAACGCACCACTCACCTTTTTTCCCTCGTCAGTTCTATGAGTAACCTCATCCTTCATCAATCCATCTGCCGACATGTCAACTCCCAAGTATCTGAAAACATTCACTTCTTCCATACTCCTCCCCAATTTGATATCCAATTTTTCTTTATCTAAATCATTTGAGACCCTTATCACCTTACTCTTTTCTATGTTCACTTTCAACTTACTACCTTTACACGCACTCCCAAACTCATCCACTAACCTTTGCAATTTTCTTTAGAATCTCCCGTAAGCACAGTATCATCAGCAAAAAGTAACTGTGTCAATTCCCATTTTGTATTTGATTCCCCATAATTTAATCCCACCCCTCTCCCAAACACCCTAGCATTTACTTCTTTTACAACCCCATCTATAAATATATTAAACAACCATGGTGACACTACACATCCTTGTCTAAGACCTACTTTTACCGGGAAGTGGTCTCCACTTTCTTGGTTTGCCTGCCCCCCCTCTCATCTGCGACTGCTTGACAGAGTAGAGAACAGAGCAAGACGTCTCATCTCTCGCCTTGATCCATCCTGGATAGATCTGTCATTTCAGCAGAGCCTTCAACATAGGAGGGATGTGGGTGGCCTTACTGTTATGTACAAGGCCAATATTGTCAAAGTACCACACTTGGATCCACTTCAAGGACAGCGTGAAACAAGCTTTTATGCCACATGACAGGCAGAAAGCAGCAACTTCACTCTGGCTGTACCCTTCTCCAGAACATCACTCCATCTGAGATCATATATACCCAGGATGACTCAAGTATGGAACACATTTGTACAGCATAATGATGTCAACGTGATAGTCAGTTGATCACATGAAAATGCTGGCCCACAGATGGCTCCAACTTCATCCTGTTCCCTACTTGTATGTCTCATAACAATAAAAATGCTTTCAAATGAGCTGATGTAGGTAACAGCTCTTAGCTTGCCAATAAAGTTAGGAATCCTTAACCTGTAAATAGCTTGTCAATAAAGCTAGGGATCCTTAACCTTGTCAAACCCTGTGTAAAAAAAAAAAAAAAGAGAGGCTGTTATGAAATTGAACTCAGAGTTGTATATGTATAAAAAATTTTTTGCAGATGAAGTGCATCGCTTAGAGAGCACTGTGTCATCATTTACGGAGGAGGCTGGAAAAAAGACTCAAGCAGAAGTGTCCAAGATAAAGGATGACTATAACACAAGCATCAAAAATATGTCCCAAGAAGTCATGGATCTGGAGATGGTGAGTTGCTTTTCAAAATTCTTTCAGTTAAATTTTCTCTACTGAAAGGCAGGGTTCAGTACTCATTGCTACTACCTTGCCTCTAAAATCTACAGTAAGTTTAAATTAATAAACAGGTGGTGGGAAACATTGTGCAATATAGAACAAACTTTGCATTGTTAGCTTAATGTTGTCTTTGGTTCCTACATCTTCAAGAGCTTGGCAGTAAGGCAAGATTCTCCTTGGCTGGTAGAAGAACCCTATCTGCATGCATAAGTGAAACATGATGAGGAGATTGTTTACCAGCACTACCATATAATCTTCTGCCTGGCTCATTTTCATTTTCTACACAGTTTTATTTGAACCCTTCTTTCTGGGGAACATCATATTATGAGAACAAGTCTATTATATTATATTATATTGGCAGTTTGGAGGGATATGTTGTGTATCTTTATACGTATATGCTTCTAAACTGTTGTATTCTGAGCACCTCTGCAAAAACAGTGATAATGTGTGAGTGTGGTGAAAGTGTTGAATGATGATGAAAGTATTTTCTTTTTGGGGATTTTCTTTCTTTTTTGGGTCACCCTGCCTCGGTGGGAGACAGCCGACCTTTTTTTTTTATCACTGGGCGAATCCCCACCAAGGCAGGGTGGCCCGAAAAAGAAAAACTTTCACCATCATTCACTCCATCACTGTCTTGCCAGAAGGGTGCTTTACAACAGTTTTTAAACGCAAATTTAAACACCCCTCCTTCAGGGTGTTAATGTCTTGTTGAAAAAAAAAAAAAAGTTTTTTAAAACTTTGCCTGGGTTTCAACTTTGTTGTTTTTCCCCCGTTTTTTAACACCGGCTATTTGGTCTTCCACCATCAAAGATAACCTCTTTTGTCTTTGTACAAGGACCCTGATGTTTTCCATCACCCAAAAAGACTGGTTTTTTATTCTTCCTAATTTTCCCATAAATTTATTCCATTTTCCCTCTTTCATTTGCTCTCTCTTTAGTCACCTTTCCTGTTCAAAGGGTTTCATGCATCTTGTATCAGGAATAAAAAATTGGATTCACCAGATGGCTGGGGAAATTGGGCTTTTTGGGACTGTTAATATCAACATAGTGTAATCCCTTTAATAAATCCATATTTTATTAAAAGCCCCAAATAAATTTTTTGATAATCAGTGTTTTCAGAAATTTGGCAATAAGACAAAAGTGAGAAAAATAAAAAATTTCAATAGTGTACAGAGGTTCGGTTGAAAAGCTTTCCTCAACAATTTTAAAAAAAAAAAAGATGAGGGGAAAGACCTCTTTGTTGTTAAGATAGAATGGGGAAAGGCCCGGGGAAATATTAACTATTTAGTGTTCAGAGTTTTTAAAAATAGATACTTTTGTTCATATTTAAGCACAAATATACGTAATAAAGAGTACTGAACAAAAAAAAAAATGTTTGTACCCAACATGCCTGTAAAACATATAATGAATGTGAGGAATAAAAGAAAAAAATTTGCTACATTTTTCTTGTACAGGCCCTTTAAAAGAGAAGCAGCTCGAGTGTGACCGAACCCTTAGAGAACTGAAGAAGGCAACAAACGAGGCTGAACAACTCCAAGGCGAGTTGAATCGTAAAAAGGAGCAGCATCACCAAGACATACTCCACTTTCAAGAACGGATAAATGCTCTTGAGATTAAAGTCATGCTCCTATCTGCAGAAAGGGATAATATATCCACAGCAGGTCTACAAAATATCCAGGAGTAAGTGGTACAGTGATGATAGTGTCTTTTCTGCCTTATTGCCTTTCACCATGTTTTCTTATTTCTTACTGATTCAGTTAAAGGGTAAATAAAATAATTGTATGTATTTTCTTGTATTTTCTTGCATATTTATTAGTTTGAAGCATAATGTAGATGTATATTATGTATCTTTCACACTTTGCCCTTTTCAAAGGGTGGGTCAGATGCAAAGGTGTGACTTACATGATGAAATATATGGTACCTGTTGTATATACAGTAGTGCCAAATATAAATGAAAAATAAGGAAACCAGGAATCTGATGGAATTGTCTGTGATGAGTGAAATTTTTCATTCCTGGAAGATGAAATGTAAAGAGGTGGACAATTTGGAGAATATTTTAAGAAATTGTTGAATGTACTGTAAATAATGATTCTGTGGCAGAAATTTCTTGAGACAAAAAAAAAATGAGAGCTATTAAAAGGAGTAGAGAGAGTTAAAAGGGAAAACAGCAGGAGTGGCTAAAATTAGAACTTATTAGGTATCCCCTTCTGACAGGGAGAGCCTACAGTGATTGTCAGGAAATGGGAGACAATCAGGTTTGATCCAAGGAAGGAGAGGACAACTCTAGTTCCCAGGATTATTAGCCTTTCACCCGCATGAAAGCAGTTACACTATTTCTCCCTTAAGGGTGTGGGGGTGGAGAAATTGAAGTTAAAATCTAAGTAAAGGTGCAGAGTCATTGAAATGACGGATATGCATCATGAATGGAGAGAGAGATCATATTTTACTCACCTCATGGTAGTGCTGCCATTTGTCTACCTGTAATCTGTCTTCAAATTTACATTAATTGTTGTGTTGAGTTGAGCATTAGAGATATTAAAGGTATGTTCTGTTCTTTTGTTCCTTTCTCTGGCATTTTTGTTGTAAAAATTAGCCTATTTACAAAACATTGCACATACTAAATGGCTATCCTAAATGATTCTCTGTACTAACTGTTGTTATTTTTCTATTACACTTCTGAGTGAAGAAAAGATTGGTTAAGGGGATTTAAAGCCTTTCAGCCACACAAGTCATGTAACCTACCATTCACCCTGACCAAGAATACTTTAAGTAACCTCACAATATATATACATTGAGAGGTACTCACCTAATTGTGGTTGCAGGGGTCGAGACTCAGCTCCTGGCCCCACCTCTTCACTGATCGCTACTAGGTCCTCTCTCTGCTTCCTGAGCTTTGTCATACCTTGTCTTAAAGCTGTGTAGGGTACCTGCCTCCACTACATCGCTTGCTAGGCTGTTCCACTTCCTGACATCTCTGTGACTAAAGAAATACTTCCTAACATCCCTGTGACTCGTCTGAGTCTTCAGCTTCCAATTGTGACCCCTTGTTTCTGTGTCCCCTCTCTGGAACTTCCTGTGTCTGTCCACCTTATCTATTCGACACAGTATTTTGTATGTCATTATCATGTCTCCCCTGACCCTCCTGTCCTCCAGTGTCGTCAGTCCAATTTTCCTGAACCTTTCTTCGTAGGACATTTACCTGAGTTCCGGAACTAGCCTTGTTGCAGAGCTCAAGGGAATGTCCTATGATGAAAAGTTGAGGGAAATCGGACTGACGACACTGGAGGACAGGAGGGTCAGGAGGTATGCACCTATTGATGTATACTATTGGTAACAAGCATTTATTGAGATTGCACCGTGTCTTTTCTCTGTTGTCGGCACCACACTTCAGATTCACCTACATGAAGGCATACAGGTGCTCCTTGACTTATGATGGGGTTACATTCCAACGAACCCATTGTAAGTTGAAAATACCATAAGTCAGATATGAATATATGCTAAACAAATAATTATTATAACTAAGTACGATAATTGAAAAGTAAAATGAGTATGACTTATGGACTTGCCGTATTATGCTGGGTAATTATCTTAAATTTCATCTCCAAAGTGATTGCTTTTGCATCATCATAAAGTCGAACTATTGCAAGTAGAACCATTGTAAGTCAAGGAGCACTTGTAAAAAATTCAAAAGATATTTAAGGTAAAACTGCAATAATTTTACAGAAGTGAGCAGCAGAGAGAAGAACTTTTAACTAGGATCCATGAGCTGGAGGACCGAGTAATAGCCTTGCGAGAAGAATGCGTTGCCATCAGAATCGAGTATGAAGAGGCGAAGAGAAATCATAATTATGTCTCATCCCTACTGGAGAAGGTCAAAGAAGAAAGTCAAAGTAGTGAGAAATTTTTGAAAAGTCAGCTAAGGTTAGATTATTTTACTCGAGAATTTCATCATTTATTATGGTCTTCAGAATGTTTTTTTGTTACTTTTAATCAGTGTACCATGGGATGGAATATTGTAGTCAGTTTTTATATACATGTACTCAGTTTTTTTTAAATTCAATACATTTTGATTATTATTATTTTTATTTTGTTTCATTTTATATACAGTTTAACCTTGGTTTTCGTATACCCTATTATTATTTTTATTTTGTTTCATTTTATATACAGTTTAACCTTGGTTTTCGTATACCCTAGTTGGAGACAATTCTTGGAGAAAATTCTCTATAAAATGTATTTTTTGTTAATATTTTTGGTGTCTGGAATGGATTAATTGGTTCCGTTCCAGACACCCAAAAATATTAACAAAAAATACATTTTATAGAGAATTTTCTCCAAGAATTGTCTCCAACTAGGGCATACTAAAACCGAGGTTCCACTGTATTTTTATAGTTTGTATTATATTTTATTATTTTTTTATTTTATTATTTTCTTTAATTTGCTTATTATTTTTTATTCTTGGGTAATTTCTAAGCCTGAAGGAGTCATGCAGCACGTAGGAAATTAGAAATGTATCAAACTTGATCCAAGCACAGGGAGAGTAGCTCCAATGTCTAGGGCAGTGGTTCCCAACCTTATCTTACTCCTGCACCCCTATAAAATTTTTGCTCTAACCTCGCACCCCCTACAATTTAAACTTTGTTCAAGGATAAAGGATGCGGAATCATACTAAATTTTATGAAAAGAAGATATTTATTTCACTTTCTAATATAATATGTGAACAAAAATCAGACTTAGAGAAAAGAAACTTATCACAGAATGATATTTGAATACACCTTACAAAAATAATAACTCTTGCTTGAAATATATACAAAAAAGTAAAATCATGAACTAGCTTTCAAACCTTTAGAAAGGAATTTTATTTTTTTAATATGTAAAAAAATCAAACATATGGACAAGAAAGGATGTCTCAGATTAACATTTGAATATACCATACAAAAAATAGCTACTTTCTTTAAATATATACAAGATAATAAAATCAAAAGGCTGACTTCCAAAAAGTTTGCGAATCCATTTTAATTCAATGACTCATTTGTTCCTGTTTCTTGCTTGTGAGATTTTCAAAACAGGGGACTATGTTGCTGATAGCAACACGCATGTCTGTCTGTGCATTCAAACGATTTTAGATTTTGTCTTAATTGACAAAAGAGTACTAAATCCTGATTCACATAAGTAAGTTGTCGCAAATGGAATGAGCACAGTTAGTGGTTTCACAAAGTCTTGGAAATAGAACCATAGCCGAGCACCAATACTCTTCCAAAGTTTTACTCTCAAATTGCATTTCAAGAGGACGATTTGAATGCAGATCTATAAGATCTTCTTTCAGCTCTCCATCAACAAGTGATGGACGCTTCTCGCACCCCCTGGAATGATGTCTCACACCCCCAGGGGGTGCGAGCACCCCAGGTTGGGAACCCCTGGTCCAGGGTCAAGAGTGCTTCACCAGCTCCTCCCATTCCTTGAAAGATTTATAAGGAAAGTAAAACAAATGTAAGTTTAGCGAAGTTGTCAGTTGCCCGGTTGCTCTTTCAGGATACATGTTATAAATAAGTTGCAATTATCGAGGAGGGTTACAGAAATGGTTGAAATGTTTGAGGGTTACAGAAATGGCTGAAGTATTTAAGGTAGCTTTTAATCAAGGAAAACTATAGAGCATTTGTCAATGTAGAAATTGAAAAGTAACCACTGTAAAAGCAAAAAAAAAATTGTGGCCAATGGAGAATTGGTTGGAGAAAGGAGTTGTGGAAGGCAAAAGTGAATGTGTGAATCATGTAACAAAAGTGTTGAAAGAAAAATACAGTGTGTTGCTTTGAGAGAAATTGGACCTGCCCCTCCTCTTCCTTGTATCAAACAAACCAGCCATATCCCACTGAGGCAGGATGACCTAAAAAGAAAATCAAAAGTTTCTCTTTTAAAATTTAGTAATTTATACAGGAAAAGGGGTTACTAGCTGTTTGTCTCCAGCATTTTAGTCGCCTCTTATGACATGTACGGCTTATGGAGAAAGAATTCTGTTCCTCTTCCTCATGGAGAATCTGTGCTCCAGTTCCCCGAATTAAGCCTGAATGCCTTCTACATCCCCCCCCCCAGGTGCTGTATAATCCTCGGGTTTAGTGTTCCCCTTGATTATAATAAATAATATTCCTCATGGAGTAAGAGGAAATAAAGAAGAACAAGAATATTGAGAAAAATAGAACGAAAACCAGATTGGTATGTAATATATAAACATGATTCCTGTTGCCCCCCCCCCCCCCCCCCCCTTCCACCATTATATACATCTGTAGTGTGACCTGTTTATGAGTAGAAAAAAGATCCAGTATTCTACCATCATGTAAACCAATTATAGGTTTTCATTCACATTCACTTGGTAGGATGATAGTACCTCCTGGGTGGTTGCTGTCTACTAACCTAATACCTAGGAAATATTATAATAATAATACAAGTATAATGAGTACTTGCAGTGTGGCCAAAGGATGCACTTATAAATTCAAAGTTATATCTGTTTGGGTACAAATAATGTAGTTTACGTGTAATAAAACATTGTGTGAGTGAGGTGAAAGTGTTGAATGATGATGAAAGTATTTTCTTTTTGGGGATTTTCTTTCTTTTTTGAGTCACCCTGCCTCGGTGGGAGACGGCCGACTTGTTGAAAAAAAAAAAAAAGGGTACAAAAGAAAGCCACTCTGTAGGAAGGAGTATGAGAGTAGATGGAATGATAAAGTTTCAGCTGATGAATGGGGTTGAAGTTTTCCCATGAAAAATAGTAACTTGTCATGCTGTGCAAAACAGTCTTCTATGCATAACTTTGTACACCATCAACAAATATGCACCATCAACAAATGTGCACCACATGTACGAGAATTTGAGAGGATAGATGTTCACCATCCTACTCTGATCATGGAGAAGACCAACTGCAGATAATGTTGAAGTAATTGTAAGCTTGAGAAAGAGTTTAAAATGCTTTTTGCTAGTTATGAAAACTGTTGCTTCTGTAATTTAAGACATTGATGGTGGACTGTGACCCAAAAAAGAAAATGGTATCATGGGGAATACAACATAAACCGAGGGATCTTCGAAGAAATTGCTGCTAGTTCATTGCAATCTTTTTCTTTATATCACATCTCTTACTATTTGTGTATAGAATAACACATTTTACTAGTATAGCAGAAATTATCTTATAAATATGAATTGTGTAGTAAATGTAGTTCATTGAAAAGGTTCACAAATAACTCACACTTAGAGGGAAAAACTTTAGACAGAGAGGGAACTTCAGATATTGTCTAAAGTTTCCTCCCTAAATGTAAGTTCTGTGAATTGTTCCAACTACGTACTTATTCTTTCTAGAAGTAGTGTTAGGACATGGAAAATTAAGGATCTATCCATAATAGAATTGAGTCCTGGAATGGAAGTACTATGCCTGCACTTTAAAGGAGGGGTTTGGGATATTGGCAGTTTGGAGGGATATGTTGTGTATCTTTATATGTATATGCTTCTAAACTGTTGTATCCTGAGCACCTCTGCAAAAACAGTGATAATGTGTGAGTGTGGTGAAGTGTTGAATGATGATGAAAGTATTTTCTCTTTTTTGGGTCACCCTGCCTTTGGTGGGAGATGGAGACTGGTTGGAAAAATATTATATATCGTGGGATTAAAATTATGTGGGTAATCAATTTCAAAATGGGAATTGGACCAGTTACTTTTTGCTGAGGATACTGTGTTATGGGAGATTGCTAAAGAAATTGCAAGGTTAGTGGATGAGTTTGAGAATGTGTGTCAAGGTATTAGAAAGTTGAAAGTGAACATAGAAAAGATGTAAGGTGTGATGAGGGTATCAAATGATTTAGATAAAGCAAAAAATTGGATTATCAAAATTGGGGAGGAGGGAGTTATGGAAGGAAGTGATGTTTTCAGATACTTGGGAGTTGACGTTGTCGGCGGATGGATTTATGAGGCTGAGGTTAATCATAGAATTGATGAGGAAAAATCAGTGGTGGTGCGTTGAGGTATTTGTGGAGTCAAAAAACGTTATCTATGGAGGCAAAGAAGAAGGGAATTGTATGAAAAGTATAGTAAGTACCAACACTCTTATAGGGATTGTGAAGTTGGGTGGTAAATGCAGCAGCGAAGAGACACGGTTGGAGCAGTGGAGATGTCCTGTCTAAGGGACTATGTGTGGTGTTATATTATGCAGAAATTCGGAGTGGGGAATTAGGGAGAAGGTGTGGAGTTGGAGTTAATAAAAGCATTAGTCAGAGGGCCGGAAGAGGGGCGTTGTTGAGGTGGTTTGGTCATTAGAGAGAAATGGTTCAAAGTGATGACATGGAAAGCATATAAATCTTTAGGAAAGAGAGAGGGGGGTAGGTCGTCTCGAAAGGGTTCGGGGGGAAAGAGGGGGTAAAGGAGGTTTTGTGGCGGCGAGGGCTTGGACTTCCAGCATGCGTGCAATGAGCGTGTTGATAGAGTGAATTGAGACAATGTACTTGGGACCATGATGATCTGTTGGAGTGTGAGAGGGTAATGTTAGTGAAGGGATTCGGGAACAGTTATTTTATATTGTCGGACTTGAGTCCTGGAATTGGGAAGTACAATGCCTGACTTTAAGGGTGGTTTGGGATATTGGCAGTTTGGAGGGATATGTTGTGTATTTTTATACGTATATGTTCTAAACTGGTTGTATTCTGAGCACTCTGCAAAAGCAGTGATAATGTGTGAATGTGGTGAAAAGTGAATGAGTGATGATGAAAGTATTTTCCTTTGAGGATTTTCTTTCTTTTCTGGGTCATCCTTGCCCTCGGTGGACGACCGACTTGTTGAAAATATATATATATATACAGTGGGGAACCCCCGCATAGCGAACTTAATCCGTGCAGAGGGTGGTCGTTATGCGAAATGTTCGCTATGCGAATTTAATTTTCCCCATAAGA